ACGTTACAACAGAGAAGAGGAAGGAGAAAGGTGAAGAGACATGGCGGCCGCCACACTCCGCCATTATATAAAGGATAATATTAATATTGAATTTGGGAATTTTGTTAAACTAATTTATATACCATGAATCGATGTTTCGGCATCATTTTAACGTTTTTAGTTACTGTTGTGGTAACACCAGAGCTACTTTTTAAGTTTCGCTATCCAATCAACCCATTCTTCTTGTCATTTTAGTCTTCCTTTATTGTAGTCATACTATTTGTTTGTTTTTCTCTGTTGTAGCACAGAAAGAACTGTGTATTTTTCCCTTTTAGTAGAACTTTGATGATTGTGATTTTCTTTGTTTTACTGCGTAATCTACATTTGTGACTGTTTTCATGCATAAACCACATTTACGATCCTTCTATTTCTAGGTATTTTCTAAATTAATAAATAATATTGTATCATTTTCTGTTTCAGTACGAAATCTGTGTTTTAACCTCACTCAGTTTAGGTACATTTTATTAGAAATCATATATTAGTGAAAAACACTTACTGGCCACTTTATCATAATCCATTATTAATATTGGGATGGAGGACCTCTTTTGTCAAGATAAAAAATGGCTGGACTCTATGTGACATTGAGTCAGCGTGCCACAGTGTCTTTGCGCTTTGAACTCGTAGTCGGATGGTTGTGAGTTTGAGGCTTGCCCACGTCATGCTGTGGTATCCTTGAGGAAGACACTATGCATCTTGCAAGGGCATGGCAGGATTTAACATTTAACTATGTGGCATAACTAGACAATATGCTGGAAAATGATTTGTTTGGGTCTAATCATTCAAGTTCACAGATGTTAACAGAGGAATTACGGTAATAAAAACAACAACGTGCTCACGCTAAAAATATTTAGTTGGATTGAGCTACAACAATTGTGCTGGCCGAAGAAGCTGGTTGCAATCTCCATCGTCCAGTTTTGAACGGGGGGGGTGTTTTGTATTGTTGCATTATCGTCTTGGAAGAATCTTTGAAGGTGGAAATGGAACATGTAGGGTGAACATGACCGTGAACAACGTTCAGACATACTCTAAATATTATTCGTTCTTCTAAACCTAAGAAGGACATATATATATATATAAGATATATATTGCAAGAATCAAACTTTCAACAGGCCAAATGCTTCATGTATAGCAAAACATTAAGTACATCTCATCATACTATATCACTTGCTTTCAGTTACTCATTGCCACAATTTGTATTCTCAAGCACAACTGTAGCCAGGCTTTTGTGTTTGCATCTTGAGATAAGCGGTTTTCAGACTACTTATCACCTGCCTTACGACAGCTTTTTTTTCATTATTCTTTGTATGGTAGATTGAAAATAACCTAATTTCAACCATTGTTTAAAGAAACAGTCAATTGGGACACATTTTGACGTCTTTAATTTTTACAATCCTGTCTAATCGTTATTTCTATCGGTCTATTATTAACAGTTGATGCCAACAGCTTTTTCCCTAATGGTAGATAAGTTTTATTTTTGTTTTTGGTTTTTGTTGCAGTTGATATATTTTAATTACAGGTGTGTTTGAATAGCTGTCACAGAATCAACTTTCACAATAAAACTTCTGCTAGACTATAACGACACTGTCTTTCACTTTCAAATATGGAGAGTTACTTTCTTTTGTCCGTACTCTTGCAGACTAACTATGTCATGAACTATACCTCTTTTGCTGCCATCCTTAGGCAATCTTGTGGTCAGTCTAGTTTTCATTAGCCCAAATATTGATCTACATATCTATACGTCTGTGAGGATGGAGTTTCTAATAAAGAAGCCAGTTGGTGTACATTATCTGTTGATAATTCACGAATTATTTGTTGCATACTATAAGTTCTCATTGCGTTTCTTTGGATTGTGTTATGAACATAAATTGCGATAGAAATTTGTATCCGATCTTCGAGAATGATTCTATATAACTAATTGAAACAAAACAAACGACTTAATCCATTACACCAGTTGAAGCTAACATCGATTTGGGTGCTGATAAATCAACCTGATGTTGATGTTTTGATGCAAACTAATCAACCTGATATCAATGGGTTGAATACTGAACAAGCAAATAAATGTTAATAGTCTTTTGTATGAACTTGAAATGGGCGTGTTTTTAAAGTGTTACCTTGCTATTTCTCTTAGATGAACATCCTGTCTTGTTCGTCTCTACCCTTTTGTCTTTCTCATCACCTTTGTTTGCCGAAATAGCGAAAAAGTTTTTTCGTCTTCTGTTTTACATTTAACATATATTTGAAATTATGACACCATATAAGATTTGCACACTGTACATAAAGTTTTAACTGCGCTTTTTGTTTGTTTGCTGTTACGCTCAAATCTAAGCAATGGGTTATCAGTGTTCTACCCACCACTGGTATCAAAACCCAATTTTTAGCGTCGTAAGCCTGCAAACATGCCGCAGAGCCACTAGGGGCAACTGCACTTTTTAAGAACAATTTGTATATAGTAATTCAGTGGTCTATCGTTGCAAGTACGAATAGTGACGTCATGGACATGTGTAGCACAATATGAAAAAAAAAATCTTCCTATCCGAAAAACTATTTCAATGAAACGCATATTTATTGATACATTTAACAAAATAATTACGAGAATTCAAACTAGATCAGAGGCTTAAGAGCCAGTAATCCCACTTGACCACAAACTTCAATGGGCTTTTTGTATCTTCGATCTGCTTAAACGTGGTCTTCGTTTTTAACAACATATGACCTTCACAGTGACACTATATGTGTATAATTATTTAATTATTATTTTAGCTTAGAAGCTGCATAGTTATAAACAAAGTAAAATCAAAGTTATACTAAATACATTAAAATAAACAAAAAGTAGTTTCTTAGGTGTTAGGAGTTATATTCTGATAAAAGTAAACTAACATACTAAAAGTAGTTTCTGTGAAATTATAAACTTATATTCTAATAATATTATACAAATAAACAAAAGATATATTCTGTAAAATTAAGTGTTACATCCTGATAAAACCGTGCTAATAAACTAGGGGTGATTTCTATAAAATTAAGTGTTACATCCTGATAAAATTTGACTAATAAACTAAAGATAAATTTTGTAGAATTACGAGTTACATTTTCATAAGGGTAATTTCTGAATAAGTAGGAGTAATTTAGAATATTGTTTTGCTACAGAAATGCCTGTAACTGTACTAGAAAGATAAAAAGTTAGTTGTTTTGCCTCAGGATACGAGTAATCTGAAGCACCTTCGTTCATTTCAAGAAGCTGTTGTAGGGTTTCTATTGACATCGGTCAACTTTATATATAAAAAATATCATATGGTGTTCATGAAAACCAATAACTGAAAAAACAAAAATATTTTCTGTATGATATTATACGATTCATTAGATTTTTTATGAGGCGTGTCAACAAATGTTGATTTACCAGATACTAGGACCTTGATGGATTGCTTGTAATAAGCACAAAGCTACACAATGGGCTATCTGTGCTCTGCCCACCACGGGTATCGAAACCCGGATTCTAGCGTTGTAAGTCCGCAGACATACCACTGTGCCACTGGGGGGGGGGGGTAGAAGCCTGATGGATAACAAAGTTTTATAAATGTTTCATGACATAAACGCCATAAGAAACTGATTAGGGTTATAATCAAAAACTCGTTTATACCTCCACATTGAACAGCCTATTTGAGTAAAATCTGTCGTAAAACTTTACCTTATGGATTTAAATAGCGAATATTTACCATAAAATGGAGTTTCCGAGATTTAAATATCTGTGCAAATATATATTGTCAGCATAAAAGTTTTTTCGATTACTTTTGAGTGGTTTATTTTTATTAGTTTTGTTAGTTTGATTTTTTTAACTAAGACTGCTAATTGCAAATACACGTACTTCACTGTTAACTGGCCGTTGATGCGTTATAAGAGTGACAGTCAAATCCTAATATTCTGTCTGAGCCGACAGTTGGCGGTGGGTGGTGTTGACTTTCCTTTAGCCTATCTTTTCATAATTACAGTCAGTTAGCGCAAATAACCCCTGTGTAAATTTGCGCGAAAGCCAACAAAACAAATAAACAAACAAATAGCAATGCTACTGTGATAGTTCTTCAAATGGTTTATATTTCTTCCACTTCATAATTAATTAATGTGCAATTTAATAACATTACCAAAGTTGCTGGATTAGTATTAAATGTTTATACTTCTACCACTTTATAATTAATTAATGTGCAATTTAATAACATTACCAAAGTTGCTGGATTAGTATTAAATGTTTATATTTCTATCACTTCATAATTAATTAATTTTGCAATTTAATAACATTACCAAAGTTGCTGGATTAGTATTAAATGTTTATACTTCTACCACTTCATAATTAATTAATGTGCAATTTAATAACATGCTGGATTAGTATTAAATGTATGAAAGTAAAAACAGTTTTTATAGTACGAAATCTGATACGCCATTAAAACAATTTCTTGATAACGACAAACTATTCTTGGGATTAGTCACATTTGATATAAACGATGTTTTAGGTTCTTTGCTTCCTATAATGAAGCTTCTTTCTCCATTGTCGATCGTGCTGAATCTGATGGCCATGATTACGCAATATTTCTGGACTCTGTAATTTCCATTGTAACAAGCTTTTGCGAAACATAACGACACTAGTCTAAGACCACATATCCTTATAACCTTTCGAAAAACTCATTATATAAACTTGGATATCAGCTTTCGAGTGTATTAGCACATACAAATTATTCTCACAAAGTGCGATTAACCCTCGTTATTATAAAGGTTAAGACGTTATATATGTTATTTGAGAGAAATGTTCACTTCTCATTTTGAGAAATCTCTAGTATTATTTTCTTGTTGTGTTGTACATTAGTACAAATGTTAACACGTTCTCTTTCTAAATTCTTTATTACTTATGTTTTACATTTGTTATTACTGCTTTGTTTCATGTTCTTATTCTTAATAAGTGTATTACCTAATCTTTTTAGGTTCATTACTCGATAAACGTACTAGTCAATAAGACAGAAGCCTTGGGAACTCCTCATCTGGACATCCCCAAACAAGGTTTACTACCAGAAGAACAGAAAGGTGAGTTTTACAAGACTTCGTTCTTTTGAGAATACTACGTCAAATTAAGTACTTTTATAAGATCTAATCCTTCGTTAAATTTGTGGAGGGATATTTTATGTTTCTTTGTTTGTTTGTAATTAAGCACAAAGCTGCACAATGGGTCATCTGTGCTCTGGCCACCACGGGTATCGAAACCCTGATTCTAGAGTTGTAAGTTCGCAGGCATACCGCTGTGCCACTGGGGGGGGGGGGCGTTTTCTTTGACAAAGACAAAAACTATTGTACAGTTAATCATAAAATCTGATGTAATTCTATTTTATTCATTAGGTGTTATTAGATTATTCAAATCTAATCCTAAATGTTTTTAGGTTCACGTAAATTTTAAGATGAATTAACGGAATCTCACCTGCTATTCCAAAATATTTATGAATATACGAGTAATAAAATATATTAGTTCATCATGTTAATCTTCTTGAATCACTAAAATAGAATATTTCTTCTGAGACGTGCGTATATCTTTCACAATACAAACTTAAACAAAAATCTTGTATTGAGGGTAAAAAATATACTTTCATATATTTGTTTAGAATTTTCGCGCAAAGCTACATAAGGACTGTTTGCGCATAACCGTGTCTAATTTTGAACTCATAGACTAGAGGGAAGATATTTATGACTTATATTTATCCTCCACAATATCAGCATTGTAAATTTTGAAAAACACCACCACCTATAGTTAGACAACATTTCAACAGCAAGGCATTTTATACTTAAGTTAATACCACCTAGCCAAATAACAATTAAGCTGGCATAATAGTACTTAAGACACAGTCTGGACCAACTCGAATTAAACTTGTATGATATCATTTCGGCCACAGTTATAGTGGTATGTTTTTTTATCTTCTTGTATTTCTCCGAAAGTGGTTCTTATGTTCGTATACTGATATTAATTTTATTTCCAGTTTTATTACCTTGGCCTTCACCCTCCAGTGGCACAGCGGTATGTGCTTAAACTAATAGCAAACAAACAAATCTTGGCTTTCGTAAGTTATTAATGGTAAAGTGATACTAAGTGGTCTCTTCTGTAAGATATAGCTCCCCTCCCCCGGTGGCTCAACGGTAAATCAGTGGGCATCTAATGCTAACAATCAGGTGTCGATACCCGCAGTGGTCAGAACACAGATAGCTGTGTGCTTTACAGCAACAAACAACCTGTAATGTTTAATAAAGATACGTCATCAAAAAATAAAATACTGAGAGTTGAGTACATTATATTACAACGATGTTTAATGTGCAAGTCGCATGATAATAATAGCCGACATAAAGTCGCGCTGGGGCGGAATGTATCAGAACTATATTTTGACATTGCTTGGTGCTTCTTAGTGTGATGCCACCCAACACGATTGCTTTTGAGAAGGATATGCAAATATTCATACACTAAGAATATGAAAACGTGTTCAGGTCGGAGATTTAGAATTTCCAACATCGGGATATCCCTTGTACTTAATGACATTGGAAAACAAAGGAATGTGGATCAACTTTGGGCACCAGCTTCATCCAGAAAGAAACCTGCAACAAGTCCTACCTCAGCCATGGTAAGCAAAGTACAGCGTCTTGTAATAGGTGAGAATCCGCGAATACAAAAGTCATTGGCAAAACTCATCCATATGTCGCGATACCAGGTCAGGCAACAGAAAACAACATAATCAAAACGGATCTCCGCTTGGACAAGGAACACGAGTCATGTGTAAAGAAGTTTTATTCTATATGAATAAATATCACCCAAGTCACCGGACGTAATGCCCATGAATTTTTATTTGCTTAGAATAGAAACAGTCATCCTCATACACTAGATGAATTACAGAAAGCCTATAGAGAGGAATTGTGTAATTTGGGCATAACAGCTTACAACGGAACTTATTCAAATGGAAACTACGCTGCAGGGATAGTTGCCAAGATGCACGGTCGTCAGATAGAACATGACGGAACGACATGGACTGTAACAATCTGGTAACCCTTTAAAATCGTATTGTTACGACAGCGGAAGTCACGTGATGTGTGTGAGTTCCTCGAATGATTAGGGAAGTCCGCGTGTGTTCGAGACGTTTTTTCAAAAAGAGATCATGACCTCGGCTGCACAGACCTTGCAGAGCATAGAATAAACACAGGCAATCACCGTCTAATAAAGATTCCCCCCGAGGAGAATAGCTCCAGCAAAGCCACAAGAGATGGAGAAGATCATGGATGGCCTAATTAAAGAAGTGATAATCGAAAAATCAGATAGTCCCTGGTCAGCTCCCATTATGTTAGTCTAGAAGAAGGATGGGACCCAACGTTGCTGTGTGAACTTAAGGGCTCTTTACAGTATAACTGAAAACGACTCATACCCACTGCCAACAATTGATGATACTCTTGATGCCCTAAGTGGAGCCAGGTGGTTTTTAACTCTAGACTAAAAGTTGGGTTTCCATTAAGTGAAAATGACTGAAGCAGATAAACCTAAGACTGCGTTTGTTATGACCAAGGTCTCTGGCAATACTGTGTGATGCCATTTGGTCTTAGCAATGCTCCAGTAACATTTGAGAAGCAAATGGAAAGAATACTGGAAGGCCTACAATGGAGGATAGTCCTAGTGTACCTGGATGATATCATTGTGTTTGCAACTCCGTTTGATGAGAAAATGTCTCGGCTAGAGGAAGTATTCAAGCATTTGAAAGCAACAAACCTCAAACTCTATCCCAAGAAATGCCACTTGTTCCAGAACGAGGTGCTTTACTTGGGTCACATTGTAAGTGAGCATGGTGTGCAAACTTATACTACAAGGTGAAAACAGTGCGTGATTGGCCAACACTAGACAATGTGGGAGAGTTAAGAAGTTTCTTGGGACTCTGTACCTATTACCAAAAGTTTGTGAAGGACTTTGCAACTATAGCTGCTCCACAACATGATTTGACTAAAAAAGGCCAGAAGTTATAATGGACAGTTTCTTGCCAGCATGCTTTCAAGACATTGAAAGAAAAATTGGCCCCAGCTCCACTTTTAAAGCTTCCTAAATCTTCACTGCCATACATACTGGATTGTGATGCTAGTAATATCAAAATTGGAGGAGTCTTGTCCCAGAAAGTGGGGGAAAACGAACATGTGGTGGCCTACTTCAGTAGGGTCCTGAGTAGACCAG